CATCAGGTTTTGAATTGTTTTTGATATTAGATTAAATCTAATTTCTGTGTAACTCAGACACTTAGGAATTATAATAAAGTAACTTTTCTGGACCTACTGTTATATAGTTTTTCAGAGTATCTACAGTTCTTGCACATACATCATCTCGTTTCTCCATTTTCATCACCTCTGAAAATTGTGTGATTATGTGCTATCTTGAGTACATGCTGTCATTTCCTTGGATTCAAGATGAGTAATCCCAGATACAGAATGATTGAGTAAATCAAGTTCAAAAGCAAGCCCACACTAGGCATAGAACTTGGGGCATCTAACAAATAAAAACTTTAAGTGTTTTTTATCTCTCCCAGAAAAACAGTACATGCAAATGTAATTGCCCACTTGACTTTTCAACATAAAGAATAGTTACTTCTAACAGTCAACACATTTAAAACTGTTCTTCCAGATGAAAAGATCATTAACCTCAGAATGTCACCTAGAGTTCACAGTTCTGAAAAGCTCCATCTTTCCATTGTTTCAGAGGAAATGGCTCAAATAGGGTAGACATACAGACATTCCTGTAGAAAGATGAGATTTTTTTTTTATAAATAATTTTTTTTTAAGATTTATTTATTCATACAGAGCTGGGGTACAGGCCAGAGATGCGGAGAGTGAGAGGCTTCACCAGAGACAGAGTGGGGAGCAGAACAGGCAGATGGACGAAGTACACTGCTGAGGGGAGCAGCGGGCGGGTCAGGAGAGGTCTCCCACGCCATCTCCTCCTCGGGGGCAGGCGGGGATTGAACTCATGCGGAAGTAGCTTTTGATTCTCAGTACAGTGCTTTAACCCACTGTGCCACCAGGGAGGGCCAGAAAGATGAGATTTTTAAAAAAATATTTATGCATACAGAGCTGGGGTACAGGCCAGAGGTGCAGGGGTGGTGAGAAGATTCACCAGAGACAGTGGGGAGCAGAACAGGCTGACCGATGAAGTACACTGCTGAGAAAAGCAGCAGGCAGGTCAGGAGAGGTCTGCTACGCCATGTGGGTCACCTCCTGGGTGGGGATCGAATTCAAGTTGACGTGGCTTTTGCTTCTTAGTGCTGTGCCTTAACCCGCTGCGCTACCAGAGAGAGCCAGATGAGATTGTTTTTTAAAATCAAATTTTATTATTACCTGAAAGGAAACAAAATAAGGCTCAATCAGTATTTAAAATGCAAAGACAATATTTTTGTAGGTTCCCAAGAAGCTTGCCTAAGAAGATTCAGTCCCATTGATATAAATACATAAATAATTACTGCAAGATGTAGTCATGGTGTCCGTTACCTTGCTTAAAATAAAAGAAAACCCATTTTTGAACGTAAATCGTTTTTCTATTCCAAAGTTATTTATTCATTTAATGCTTCTATGATGATGTTTTCTCCCATGGATACAAAACACACCTTTTTCCAACAGTGAAGAAAGGAGAAGGGATGCTGAGCTCTGGCTATAAATATTTTATTACTTAGAGAACAAAGATCACAGAAGGGCGGATGAGTAGCAGGAGACAAATGTGATGATGTTTTCAGTTCCTCAGAGGTTTATATCAAACAGTCTCTGCCACTTGTTTCCTGCTTGGCTTTCACAATGCCAAACCTGGCCATGAGACCATTATGTGTACCTAGAGTTCATAAGAGGAGAACCACAGCATCTGGCTGAGTTCAAGGACAACCACAGCATGATATATAAGCAAATATAATGTCTTCATAAAATGGTGCCATGGTGAAGATACAGTTTCAAGAAGGATCTGTCTTAATTTCTTTCTGAAAAGTTCTATCCTTCTAAAAAAGCAGTTTTAAAAAATATTAGGTTCCTCCTTATATTCCCCACCTCTTACCCCAATGCCTCAGAATTGTAGAAAAACTAGCCTGATGCTAAAGCATCTTTCATAATTTCATTACTTTTGGTGTTCATTTGACTAGAGTTCTATATTAATGGGGCCAGTCATACATAGCTTGTTTCTTTTGAGAGAGAGAAAAGGCCTGTTTTTCTAACATAACATAGATCACATTTCAAAACTACCATTCACAAAGTCACATCTCTGTGAGCAAGAAATGGATGAAAGGGTAAATAGCAACCTTGTGAGATTGCAGGATCTTGTTTCATCCTGAGTCAAAATTGTCCTGAAATGTACCTGCATAGTACTCTCAGGCCTGATGTGGAGAGAGAAAGGAAAGTATACAAACACAATAATTTGTACTGATATTATTGATGCTAAGTCTTTGTTCTGTTTTACAAAAATAGATCTTAGATTTTTTTTTTTTTAGTAATATGTCGATGTGCCCATTAATGAATTCGTTTCTGAGTCGAGTGCCACTTCTAATGAAGTATTTGTTTTGTTTCACCTAAAGATCAGGGTGTCTAAAGTCCAAAAGCCCTTTTACCAGATAACCTATGAAAATGAAAACTGCAAAATAGTGGCAACAGTTGTGTCAAAAACATAATTATGCTTCTCTGATTGATATATGTTTCTTTTTTATAACAAGTGCACAAATCATGTACATAGAAGTGCTTATTTTTTTGGGTAAGCAAAATGTGAGTGAACTATAATTTTTTATTTTATTTTACAGTGATTCATGGGTTGCAGAACACTGCCTTTTGGCTTTAAGAACCTAGTTCAATTGCCGAACATACTGCTCAGGCTGGTTTTGTTCCAATGTAAACAAGAACAGTTTTTACTATTCACTTTGCAGAAACTATTTTCATTAAGGACCACTATTACAAAAATGGTGTGCTACATTTTTAGAGGAGCAAATATCACCAGGAAGTAATGAATTGCCCCAATTTTGCAACTTGTACAAAGTAGAGCCTTATCTCTTGATTCCAAAGCCAACCCGCTCTTGAAGTGTAAATTTAAATGTTTTTTTAGCATCAGCCTCTCTTATTAATAGCAGGTTAAGAATATTACAGGCACTATACTACTAATCATACAGATTTTTTTCCCCCCTAGATAAGTACTGGTAATATGGCTTTTCCAGAGATATGTAGTTTTCCTAATGGCATGTTCAAAGACAAGGAATACTGAGAGAATTTTAGTAATGATCTATGCATATATTAAAGAAGTTTATGGTTTTGGTTTTTTTTAATAATTTGGTTATTTGCAGAATAAATAGAATATTAAAATGCTAGTCTTACAAGCCAAACATCAAGCAAATACCAGTTAATTGTATAAAAAAATGTAATATTAATGAAATATATGACAACTAAGATGCACTCAATTATTTTCACTTTTTTTCTGAATTAAGTATTGCTTGTAAAAGAGATTGTGTTGTGCAGTAGACCCAGATGGCTATATCAGTCCAGAAATTGCATTTCCTGACAACATGACTTACCTTCCGTTGCTCTGAAATATAGAAAGATAATATCACAAGATTTAAAAAGGAAATGATGTCTACTTATATTTTAACTGGTTTTGAACTAAATTAAAAAGCATTAAGAACTGAGCTTCCAGAAGCATCCTTGGATTTGTTTCCTGTGCAAGATACAGCTTTTTAGCAAGTCCTCTTGATCTCAGCTATGATATCTTAAAACATTGGGCATGCTGTTGAGATGATGTTACCACTAGATTGCTTTCCATGAGCTACAAATAAATCAACGTTAAATTAACCATTTAAAATACCAAGAAGTAAATTTAAGTGGAAAATCTCTGCAACACCTTTAGAATATAAATCTACATTCCTAAGGGAGCTTTAAACACCTTTCAGATACACTACACTTAAAGTGGTGTACTTACATTGTTTATGTCTCAAGGTACTGGCATTTTTACAGAAGATACAAATCTTCCAAGTTATATATTGTGTACTTAGAATTATCTGATGCATATAATGAAATAAAAGCAGGTATTTCTTATTATTCAAGAGAAAAAGGGAACCATGTTCTGAGAACAATTTGGGTTGTTCCTTAATGGATAAGGTAGATTATCAACCTATAATTATTTTCAGGAAAATTTTCTTTGGTCTTGTCTGAAAATTGGATGAGCAATGATTAATATCAGGCAAGAGAAAAGAACACTGGAATTTGTTTTTTTTTTAATAAGACACAAAATAACTGCTTTCAGTTCCTGGATCTTGTAGAAAGCATATGAAACCTGTATTTAATGCTTTTCAAATTTATCTGTAGTATTTATTATTTGCTGATTTAAAAGTTAGGGCAGTGCTGAACCATAAACAAGGTTAGGAACTTGTGAAATATACATGTAACTTTAGCTCAGCCAATTGAATATATAATCAATCATCATCATTCATGGATTTTATATTTGCAAATGGATCTTCCATTTTTTATGCATGTCTGTGTTTTTTTGTTGGTACTTTCACTGAAAATGCCTCTTGCCCCTTATCTCCACCCTCACCCCAATATTGCACTTCATTCCTAAATGAAGAAAGCTGTGAAGTGTCCTAGGAGAACTTCATTCAGCCATGAGCTATAGTATTGTTGGCTATCAGTTGAATATTCACAAATCAACAATATGTATTAAATAGTGTCTTTTAATAGAAACATGCATAGCAATGAAACGAAGTTATATTGGTTGCTTGATGAAAATACTAGTACCAGAGACCAATGGATACCTAACCCTGTATTTCCCCTAGGAGCATTTTCTAATTCAGTATTTGTGTCAGCTTTATATAACATAGATACTGCATGTTCTGAGACTAACTATATTGAACTTGTCTGATCACTAGTTAATGGGTTAGGTCCCCGACGTCTAGGGACCAAAGGCACAGTTCTCTCCTCCATAGGCCTCACCATCTAATGGAGAGGTGCTTTGGGGAAGTTCTGTGAGGCAGACACCAATGGACTAAGGTAGTGTCTGGGTGATAATATGTACAGATCAGAGCTGAGTCACAAGCAGAGCTCGGCATAGTTGAAAGAAAGATAGGAATGTTTAGGAATGTAAGAAAATGTGAAATAAATGAAGTACATGGTTATTTTTAAACAGAGCATGATGTTGGTGGGTTTCTGACTCATTTTCTACCATGTTGTTACAGAAATACACTGTGGTGAAATGCTTCCACTCTTACCAAATGAACACTGAGGAAAAATGAAAATTACTGAAGAGCACCAACATAAAGTTGTAAGACAGGAATAGCCACACTTCTGTGGGGTCCAGTTCATCTACAGCCATTATTAAAAGGTAAGAGAATTAATTATGTCAAGGCTTTGCCCTTTTAAAGTGTTTTTTTTAATGAGCATATATACAATGGAGTATTAGTTGTTAAAAATAATCCATTTACAATGACATGGCTGGACTTTGAGGTCATTATGCTAAGTAAAATAAGTCTCAGTGAGAAGCCAAATATATAATCTCTATCTGAGGAAAATAAATACTAAACTCAGATACAGAAAACAGATTAGTGTTTGCTAGAGGTGGAGGGTTGGCTAAATAGATAAAGGTGATCAAGTATACATTTCAGTTAAACAATGAATAAATCCTGAGACTATAGTGTAGAGCAGGAAGTATTATCCTTTTGAAAGTTGCTAAAAAGATTAGATCTTAAAAGCTATCACAAAAATATTATAACTATGTGGTGGTGGATCTTAACTAGAATTACTTTGACAATCATTTTGCAGTCTAGAATCATGTTGTAAACCTGAATATGTAAATTATATGAATTTGTAAATTATATTTCAAAGGAAAAAATTGGTTCCCTTCTGATATTTTTCAAAAAAAAATCGATAACTTCCATATGAAGAGTGTGCTTTTGTGTCATTTATGTCAATATATGATCATCCATCTGTAATTGATTTCACTTTTTTCAGAACAACTTGTGATGTGTACGTTTATAGCTTCTAAAACTTAAAGGACATTGAAGGCAAATTGTGAAAAGAAAACAGGCTTCCCTGAAATCTCAGGTTATCTTGTAACACAGACCTGAGCTTTGGATGCTCTAATTCTTCCTTCAAGATTCCTAACTTCTGAGAATATAACTGCTCAAATCATAGAGAGGTAGCCTGGGTGAGAGATGCCCATCTAGATAAGAAACCTACTACTTGCTTAGGTGAGTGAAACATGATGTTAAGACTAAAACTGTAATATTTGGTTATTCTTTGATGAAACATTGAAGCACAAACAAGAATAGTGCTTATTTGGTGTTTTTAAAAGGCAGGAATGGGTAGATTGAAGTAATACTTGCCAAGGAAACTAATCCTCTCCTCAATGAGGGGGTTAATATCTTGCAGCTTGTGACCAATATGAAAAACACTGAGGAAGGTGAAAGATAGGAATTAAGTGATGGCCTTGGAGCATAGGTCCAGGATTTCAAGAACCATTGTTAGAGCATAAATCAACTTCAAAGTCTGTGTTCACAAGAATTTTCATTGTAACTTGGCCTAACATTTTAGAAGCCCAGCAAAGAAAAGGACCCTTTTCTCCAAAACTCACCACTTTCTCCAGAACTCCACAAGGTATACATATAGGTGAGACTGTAATAAAGGCAAAGACTGTGGTCAAAAAGGAGAAAGGCATCCTGGTGATATCAGAGAGGACTGACACTTCCAGATACAATGCCCTGGTTCTTTCCCTACCAGACAGATGTCCTTTATCTTCTGATCATGAACCACCAGGATATTTTTGCAATTCCTTAATCTCTGAAGAGCCAAAAGTTGAGCTTCTTGAGGGGTATTTTATATCTCACAGTTCAGGTAGCTAAAATCAGTCCCTGTAAACAAATATACAGGTGAAAACCATCAATCCATACAGTTCCAATAAACATCATACACACTCTGGTACACAGTGCCTCTTTTAATAGCATATTGTAAATCACTAGCAGGTTTGGCCAGAAATCAATGCCATGGTCCAGGTGCCTTTCAGGATAAACATAGAACTATCTGAGATCAACTGCAAATTAACCCTATCCACTAGCATTGACCTAAAGATAGAACAGCACATCTTGTGATTAGACTTGCCATCCGCTAAGCTAAATACAACTCTTTCATTACCTAGAAACATCATTAAAGGGTAGGCTTTCAAATTGGAAATCAAAGTTCCTGAAAAGAAGTAATTGGATTCTGAAGCAGTAAGAATAAAATGAAACAGAAAGTAATAGTGTCTCAGTTAGGTTTCCCTAGAGTCAGATGCTTAAATGAAAAATATAAGACAGGTAAAGTCAGTACATCTTCAGAGAACTGTGGATGTGTGAAATGGGGAAGTAAGGTAAGCCAGAAGAGGTGCCTTGTCACTGCTAGGACCACAGGCACACAATGTCACTAGGCAATTCTGGGAAACAGTATAGAACATACCTTGGCTTTCTCCTAAACAAGGGCAAGGGCGTCAGGGCATTTAATACACAGCTTTGGTTGAGAGCTGCTTCCCTTGGTGGAAGTTGGGGATGTTAACTCCCTGATGTTGGTGGCCTGCTATACATGTGAATTAAATGGGTTTCAAAAGCCAGAGGAAACCCTCAAGTGATCGATCTCAGATATTTGTCTGTGGAAGCCCTTTCTATGTCAGCATGCCCAGAAATGATCAATGTCAATGGAATTTGGATGGAATACTTAAGTTTTTACTTTAAGTGACAGCATCCATTATTATCACATTCATATTAGCAGAGCTGTCTTAGTAATCCTGTCATGTTCTAAGCACTTTACATTCATTTATCATTTAATTCTTATTTTTTGAACACTCACTCTGCCAAGTTGGGAGGGGATGGAGAAAATTATATATACACTTTATTGCCACCATCTAGTCTTCAGTTTATCTAAATAAGAGTCAGCAAGATTAACCAAGTTCTTTGAACTAATACATAGAGCACTAGGATTTAAATTCTGACTTGCCTCCCAAACCATCCTCAAAGCATCATTATAATCTTAATTAGCTAACCATTGATGCTCTTTCAAGTTGGGGATACAAAAATTTAAAATATTGCTCCCATTTTCAAGGCACTTGCACTTTTGTGGAAGAAAAAAATAAGAAAGCATGTAGTGGATTGAGGGCTGTAAGTGTATGCTGCAGCTACAAATGGGGTTAGGAAACAGAAGATCAGTGGTTGTTGTGTAGAAAATAACCACATAACTCACTGGCTTAAAACAAAATGCATTATTGCTCATGGGTCTATGATTGAGTTGGGTTCTTGACTGGACCAGGTTTGCGTGATCTTAACTGGAGTCACTTCCACCTGCAATCAGCTAGCAGGTTGGATGGTGGCTGAGGGATCTAAGAGTTACATACTTGGTAACTGATTAGATATAGAAATTCACTTCTCTAACATGCTAGCCTAGACTTATGTACATAGTGCCTGAGTGAACAAAATTGTGTGAGTCTTCTTAGGGCCTAGGTTCAGACAGTCCCCTTCTCTATTATATAGTCCAAGGAAAATCATAGGCCAGCTTAAGGCATGTGGAAATAGACTCCACTTCTTGGTGAAAGTTCTTAAAAGTCACAATGAAAAAGTTATTCACATTGGAAATGAAAGATGTACTATCTAACAAGAAAATCTCACTTGGGAAGTAGGGGTTCCCCAGACAAATAAAGAGAGAACCATACTTAAGAGCAAGAGGATGGTCTGTATTGAAAGAAGCATGGCCCCCCTGATGCTATCAAGTGACTTGGAATGAGGCTTGAGTGATGAGGGAAAGAGAAGAGCAAACACGTGACAAAGTACGATTAAGAACAAGAATGTGTAAATGCCCGGAATTCAGGAAAGTGAAAGCTAACTTACAGGTACAATAATATGTGTATGGAAAAGTGTCAAAATAGGAAGGTGAATAGGGCCAGATGAATGAATGGTTGGGTGGACAGAATACAGTGCATCAAATTCAAAGATTATGCTCTTAATTTTCAAATTTTAGAAAATTTGTGTTTATTTCAAAGAGAGGGTAGGAAAGAATGAAATAAATACTTTGATAGATATTTGGAGAAAAATATGACTCAAGAATGGACCTGAGGGCAAGAACTGTTCAGCATGGCTGCATTTGTGGCCACAGGGAGATAATGCAATGAGTACGTTGTGTGGTAGAAACTTTCCAGGATGCACCTTCCATAAACATACTAAGCATCATTTACTTTTTTAATTATGGCCCCAAACTCTGTCAAGTCCAAGTTTCTGGGGCAAGTTTCTATAAGGCAGTTTGGCCTCATGGATATTAGGAATATATTTATAGAGGTCTGTGCCTGTATGTCCCTTGAGGTGTGTGTGTGTGAAATTGTAATTTTCAGCTCATGGATTTCTTCACTCTGAGACTGAATTGTGTAAATGAAAGAGCAGCCCTTTTTTAACTTTTACTGTTCTCCTGGGACTGTATTTTGCATGTGGGGCTTTCCCAAGTCCCCAGGTGCAGTGAATTGTAGCGTGAAACATTACAGCCTTATGCGCCAGAACATACTCTAGCTTCACCAGCTCCTTGGACTTAGAATAGGAGCTTGCCTATGGAAATAAGTCGTTATGGAAAACCTAGCACTTGACTGTGGAAGTAAGTCATATGGAAAACCAAGCACAAAAATACTGAGCCTTTATGGTTTGAGGAATATGTGATATTCATTCTCGTCTCCCACTATGATTGTTTCCTATTTCTAAAATTTGAAGCAAAGATGAAATTTTTAAAAAGAGAGCAAGAACATTGAGAATAACATAGCCAATGGGGGGGGGCGCATCACAAAACTGATAGCAGGGATACAGCCGCCAGTGAGTACTCTGAGTACTCTCTGGATAATTAATGGCTATTTTTGTTCTCTCGGGGAGCAGGTTCCTCCCCAATCTATTTCCCTACCTCCCCTCCAATGGTAAGCATCATCCCAAATGTGTCAGCCATCTACCATACCCTTGCTTAATTTTTTTTTTTTAAATTGGCCAAACATTATTATATCCCTATGTAGTGTGTTAATAGTTTTTACTTCCTTTTTTACTATGTAATAATGATCTCATGATCATATAGTCTACACATTTACTCATTACATTCAACATTTATTTCTTAAGATCCACACAAATTGAATATAGCTGTAGAGTTCATTTCCTCAGCTAAATATTGCATTTTGTAAATATATCACAACTTATTCTTATGGATTGACATTTCTATTGTCATTTTTTTGCATTTTCTGCTACTGTGAGCAGAATCAGGATTCTATACAAAAAAGCCGGTTGTTATGATGTAATATATGTAGGTGACCAGCCATCTCAATTTGACTGTATCTTGAACTTT